GGCCAGAGCAAAGATTTCTCTCTCTCATAATACTTATAAAGTTAGAGTTGTTATTTTATAGCAGCACTGGGACTTAACAAGTGGTTTGGCACATTAGGCCCGTTTGGTGTAGTGGTTAGGAGTGCAGACTCTAATCTGGGAGAACCGAGTTTGATTCCCCACTCCTTCACATGCAGCTGCTGGTATGACCTTGGGTCAGTTACAAGTTATTTCAGAGCTGTTCTCTCAAGAGCAGTCCTCAAAGAGCTCTCTCAGCCCCACCTACCTCACAGAATGTCTGTTGTGGGGAGGTGAAGGGAAAGGAGATTGTAAGCTACACTGAGACTCCTTTCGGGTAGTGAAGGGCGGGGTATAAATCCAATCTCCTCCTCCTCTTCTTCTGCATAGAGCCATGACTGGTTATGGTTGGTTCCATCCCATAAACTTTCAACCTAACTAAAGGACCAGAATATATCATCCTACTTCCTGGGATGTAGGACAAACATGCAGTGAAAAAGGACTGAGAAGCACAGGATAATGGCTGGAAAAGACATCTCCATTCCATCATAGCCAGTGATTGGTACCCAATAGGCTGTGAATAGTGTCCAGTCTATGAAGCAAAATCTATAATCCAGACACATCTGTATGACCTCTTTCAATACTCACTAGCCACAGCACTGCGAATAACTGCTAGGAGATGTCCAGTGCTGACAGAAATGTGCAGAAAGGGTAGATTCTTTCTGTGTCTAAAAGTTTGAGAACCTTAAGAAAAGCCCTGCTGGATCAGATCAGTGGTCCATCTAGTCCAGCTTCCTGTTGCACACAGTGGCCAACCAGTTCCAAAAATAGGGCATAGAGGTCGAGGCCTTCCTGTGATGTTGCCTCCTGGCACTGGTATTCCGAGGTTTACTGCTTCTGAGTGTGAAGGTTCCCTTTACTATCCACTGATAGATGTAATGTCCACTAATCTGTCTATAATCCATGTGCATGTGTATAGGTCACTGGAAAACCACCAACTGGTGTATACTCTGGCTTCTTGCCCATGGTAAGCTGTTTTTCTGAGGCAGATTGTACCATGGCTTGATAACCCCTCATTTTCAGTTAGTTGATGAATAAGTGGGTGAAGGATGATAAACTGAGAACACAAAAGTTCATTGACTCTCTGTAAAACTACAGGTACCTTGTATTGATGTAGTCAACACACCACACACAATCTTAATCTACCCTCTTTGCTCACATTGTCTGGGCTGGCAAATTGTGTACATCCTGTCCAATTTTAATTTTTTATGATAGGCTTCTAATATACCCTTTGAACAATATTTAGTGCTTTGCTCTTGTCACTTGCATTAGGCTTTCAAAACCAATAAGAAAATTCACTTTTGTTGGGTTTTTCCTCTCTCTCTGATCTACTTGAGGGGGCCAAGGCCGTTCCTTCTAGTGGGAGTTGGTATCCTTATGTTTACAATGCTCTGGCATATCTTACACATTGGTCTCTGTGCTGTTTTAACTTGCTAATGCAGCACATTTTGCATTAGATGATTACTACTGAAAACTGGCTGGAATTTTCCTGCCAGCGCTTGAGTTTTTAATTAATAAAACCAACTTGTTTTTTTAACCTAACAGTGAGCTTTACAATCCTTGGAGAAATTGGTTTCGGCACAGAAAAGCCCTGGGCAACTTTCCTCTCCAATTCTATGCTAGGGTCCTCAGCCCTATGGCAGAACATTCTCTAGTGTCTATGCTGTCCTGTATCCCTCATATTGGACCAGAATTAGGGTTTCCAGTGCACACACATGCATGCACGTGCACACACACACAGGCCCCTCCAATTTGGCATCTTCCTTATACGTTAGCTCTCCCAATAGCATTCCATCATTGTCCTGAACTACATTACTCTTTGAAACTTTATACAGACGCCTCATAATGGAAATTCAGGTTCATTCAAACTTGGGTGTTGAATTTAAGTAAGGGGCTCTGCCAGCTGGGACATGTCTGAAGTATACATAAATTGTATTCCTATTCTTCCCGAAGAGGTTGGAATGACTGTAAGCGATGGTTCTTCTTGCTAAAGAACATGCCTCGAGGCCTGCAATTAGATGCACTGTGGGCAATGTTCCCTCTAAGCTGTGGAGTCTTGTGAGCAAAAATTCTACTTTGTGAGCTCCTGGCATTAAAGTTGTGAGTGAGTGATTTGGCTGCTGCATAAATTAGTTTGCTCTGGAGCCATCCTTCCTGAGCTAAGACGAAAATGTGTGAGCCGGAGGCTAAAAAACTGTGAGCTAGCTCACACTAACTCAGCTTAGAGGGAACACTGACTGGGATAAGATCCATTGCTTTGTAGCTCCTGATCCCTGATGCTTTAACAATGTGCTAGTGTAGTGTTTTTCAACTCAGCTGCCTCACAAAGCCCCCTCCTCCTGGTCTCAAGCCTCTGTTCATCCCTACACATGCCTCTTGCCTCTTTTTAAATGCATGAGAAGAAGAGTGGTAGGATGGCAAAAGAAAGTCACAGTGAATGAGAGTTTACATACATGGCTATGACTTGTGGCTTATTCCTCACTACAGTATCCCTCCTGTTTTTTATTTCCAATTTTCTTGGTCTGCTGCCCAATGGCCCTCACATTGGCAATAGTAAAGATGGTTCTGAGCAGGAAAAGAGGGGGCTACCCTAGAGCAACTGCTCAAGGAAGGTCCTGCACAATTTCCCTGCTCACTCTGAAGGCACTTCCATGCCCCTTGAGGCCAACGGAGTGCAGAGAATTTGGTCAGGGATGACCAGCTTAACATTTTCACTTCAGGTAGTAACAAAAACAAGATTAGTCTTTCCTCCCATTATGGCTGCCAGGATATCTGAAAACAAGCTCACAACCCTTGTTTAGAGAAACATAATGAAAGAAAATTTGGAGGATACATGAGCCTCACCATTCTAGCCTGAACCTCAGCAGAGAGAAGAAATACCACATTTTAGCAGCTTCCACATTCTGCAGTTGGCCTGGGGTGGGAGTAACTTTTGCTGGATATACTTACCTTGGTTGACATGCAGACTCCATTAATGGAATCCAAAATGGCATTAGGGCTATAGATCAGAAGACATATTAAAAAAAAAGTTGCAACCAAACATCTTTGTCCTAGCACTGTACACTGGAGCACTGATTCAGATATGGTGACTTGAGATTCCAAATACAGAACCTTCTTTTTGTAGCAGTGCCTCATAAGGTGGTGTGGCAAAGAGGTCACTGCTGACCAGTGGCCATGCCAAGGTGGCATCAGAGAAAGAGGGGCATTTTATTGAATTTTATTTTTTATTGAATTTTATGTATGGCTTAGGCCTCTGTAAGCCACCCTGAGCCCGTTCGCGGGGTAAGGCGGGGTAGAAATACCCGAATAAATAAATAAATAAATAAATAAAATCTAGATGAGCCCTCTACAGATGTGTAGCTGCTGACTGGCTGTGCCTGCCAACAGATGCAACAAGCACCTGCAGCTCCTTAGGCATGCCTAGGCATTTAGGAGCTGCACACTGACTGATGCTCTACTTCCTTCAGTGATGCCTTGAGAATCTGCTGGTAAGGACATGGGAGTCCCCTTCCCCCAAGGGCACAGCTCAGCACTGACCCATTCTTAGATTTATTTACTCATTCAGACCCCATCTTTCTCCCCAGCAGGGACCCAGAGCAACATGCATCCCTCTACTCGCCTCTATTTTATCCTCGGAACAAGCCTTTGAGGTAAATTAGGCCAAGAGTATGTGACCGGCCCAAGATGATCCAGCCAGATTTATGGCACAGTGGGGGATTCAAACCTGGGTCCTCCAGAGCCTAGTCCAGCCATCTAACCACTACATCACACTGGCTCTCAGTGTCATGCTGTGCCTGAAGACTATCACTGCTCCTTTGCTTTTCTTATGATGATGAAGAAGCTGGGGGAAAGCACACCCATCCACTGGCATATTTCATTTGCAATTTTAATTGGCTTATCAGAGACAAAGAGGTGATAACAGAGTTAGAAAATGGAATATTTATCCTCTTCCCCCTTCCCTTGTTTTAGCCTCCTGGATGTTTTGAGTTCCGTAGCTTGGAGATCAGCCACTTCAAAACAAACAGAATCTTATTCTTTGAATCTTCTTTCACATCGAAGATCATCTTCACACACACACACATATCCTCCCCCAACTGCCCCCCTCCCTTAGCTGAAGCAATGCTGACCTAGCATGAAGCCTTCTAGCTATGGTAGATTGGTATACAAAGGATTTTTTTCTTTTTTTCTTTTTCTTTTTACAAAACAAAAACAAAAACAGAAAAGCAGAAATTTCCTCACCCTCCCTTTCTTTCTTTCTTTTTTTAAACATTATTCACAAAAGTTTACAAAATAGCCTTGAAATTAAGCTCCTGGGTTGAGATCCAATCCACTCTCCCCCTTGATGGTGCTAATGGATTCAAAGACGCATTCACTGTTTTGAGGATCATTGTACTGCTTCTTTAGCCAGATAAGGCTGCCCTTCCTTCCAAATCACCCCCTGTGAGGCTTTCCTCAGCAGGCAAATCATGTAGCTGTGAGAAGAGGCTTGGTGGATTTGGTTCGGGATTCTCGATGGCAACACACACGCACACGCACACACACGCACAGATAGCCCCAAAGGGAAAGGCCTTTTTGTATTTCCAAAGGACCAGCAATTCGCTGGGCAAAAAAGTACATTGGTAACAGGCTGCCAGAGGATCCGCAGGCTGCCTGTCATGAACAGAGGGATGTTCAGATGCCAAGCTTGGTGCTTTCAGCTCATGCGACCTTCTCTGGACATGTTTTCTTTATAAAAATAGCTTGTCTTGGCATGAAAGACAATCCATTCAACAACACTGGTGATGTAGGTGGGCACGGGGCTCACCAGACCTTTGTCCTCTTCGTCCTCCATGCTTATTGTTTTCATGGCTGACCATATTTTTCTCATTTGTATTTGGTAATTAAAAAAAAATTCCAGCAGGTTTTCTTGCCCACCCTCCCTGGAAAAACAACAATAAAACCTTTCAAGAGTCCAGTAGTGTTGCTTGTACCTCCACAGCCAGAAGCTTCTCACTCCTCCTCCCTCGATCCCAGTGTTTGATGAAGGGTGGAGATACTATACGCACTGAAGATGTGCCTGTTTTCCACAATATGCAGGTCCCATGGCTTCCAGCCTGTGGCCTGAGTAAGCCCAAACCATAGTTGCCTATAAGGCTGATACACAGCAACAACATGCAGAGAGACAACACAATCAGTAGGCTCTGCCTGCTTTCGAGGTATCGATATTGAGCCTCTTTAGTCCTGGCATTGACACAAGCCACCTTGCTCTGCAAGTCTATGAAGGCTACATGAAGGCAAGCCCAATATTCTGTGTTGTGGTGGAGTCGTGTGATATTGTACATGTGAGTACCTGTTGGGATACGGGCCATGTTGGTCATATCTAAGTTGGGACTGAAGCTGGACCATGTGAGGTTAGAAGAAACTGTGTTGAGGTGAGGTTTCCAGGCAACCAGGATGTGGTAGGCCTGGACTTCCTTCACTAGCAGCTCCAGGGCATCCTCACTGAAGGGGAAAGAACTGTTGACCATCAGACTTATGCTTTTGGTATCTGCACCAATGAGGTTTTGAGCCATACATGTGTAGAGCCCAGCCTCTTGTGCTGTGACCTTGTGGATTTCCATTGTCCCTTCAGGGTACACTTTAAACTTCCCATCGTCTGAGTATGGCATCAGCTTACGACCTGATGGTGTGACCCAGTATATCTCTGGTTCTGGTTCTGCCAGAGCTCTGCAGTGTAGAGAGATGTCCTCTCCATCTGCCACCTCTAAATGGGAAGGAAAGCTTTTGTCAGAGATGAGGGGCAGGCACCTGTCAGTCATTTCCCTAAAGGGGACATCTCGGATGTGCTTTTTCTTTAGGTCTGGAGGCTCTGCACATAATGTGGACTGAGGCTCAATGAAACGTATGTGGTTCTCGGTACTGTTGACCCATCGGATGACACAGTCACAGCGGATGGGGTTGCTATGGATGCTTATTTCCTGCAGATTGGGGAGGGACTCCAGTGTCTGCTTATGCAAGGCACTTAGGGCATTGTTGTTCAGCATGAGGGTCTCCATCTGGGGGAGGTGGTGGAAAGCACTGGGGTGGATGTAGGACAGTTTAGGGTTGTTGGTCACATCCAGTTTGGTCAGTTCAGGCAGGTTGATCAAGGCAAACTTGTCAATAGAAACCAGCTCCTCCATGTTGTTGAGTCCCAGTTCCTTGAGGTGCAACATATTTGTGAAGTCACTCTGCTTAACCCTCTGCAGTGGGTTTTTGTTCAGATCCAAGAATTTAAGACCGGGGACTTGCTGTAGTGCCTTCTTAGGGACATTGACTAGCTTGTTGTCATAGAAAGACAGACTCTCTAGACTTCTCAGGCCTTCTAGTGCATAATCTGAAATCTCTCTCAGTTTCATTCCTGCCAGAACCAAACTCCTCAGATTTGACAGGGCCCTGAAGTTCATATCCAAAATGGCATCTACTTTGTTGCCTCCAATCATGAGGATCTCCAGACTGGGCAGTACTTGGAACCAGCGGCTGTCAATCGTCCTCAGGCGGTTGGAGTTGAGGTGAAGCCGAAGGAGGTTTCCAAGGCCTAAAAAGGCTCTGGGAGAGATTCTGCGTATTTGATTGTGGTTAAGATAAAGCTCCTGGAGAGTGGCCAGGCCCAGGAAGCTGTTATCAGGCAATTCAGTCAGCTGATTCTCTTCCAGGTGAAGGCTCAGCAACTGGGGCATGTTCTTCAGGCCAAAGTCCAAAATGTCAGAGAAGCTGTTCTGTGACAGATCCAGTTCAGTCAGATTTTTCAGGTAGTCCAGCTCGCTCTGCTCAACCTTGACAATATTGTTGCTTTGCAAGAGAAGGATCTGTGTCCCCTCTGGCAAGCTTTCAGGCACTGTGGAGATGAACAAATCATTACAGTCAACTGTGGCTGCCTCCCTGTATACAGACCTGGGTGTGTACCATGGCCTGATCTGGCAGACACACTGCAGTGGGCATTTGACTTTCCAGGGCACGACAGGAATTGCAGTGGTAGTTGCCACACAGATGAGAAGCAAGTTCAGTTGGAAGTGTCTCATTTTCAGCAGGCAAGTCCAACTTCCATGTAAGGTGAAAGCTTTTACAGGACACATCTGGACCTCAACACAGTCAAAATAGAATGGGGTTAGATCAGACAACACACATACACTGCTCTATCACCTCTGGATGTTTCCCCCAGATGTTGTTGTTCCTGAGTGAGAATATTGTGCTAGGGGTAGGCGACTCCCCCAGCTGAAGAGGTCATAATGTGCCAAAATGTAATCTGTTTTGCCTAATCAGAGCTTCTCCTTTTCTTCCTCCAGAAGTGATTCATTTTTTCCCTTGCTTGCATTGTTGAGGCTTCTTCTTGAAGTTCCACCTGAAATAGATAAAACAAGGTATTTTGTGAGAACAGAAATGTACAAGTAGCAACACATCAAAGTAAAAAAAAATTAACACAGCATCTTGGTAATTCTGTGATGAACTATGCATTAGGTTGATAATCTGAAATTAGACCACCTACCATGCCCCCTAGCCTTAAAAAGCTGCTGGTCATGCACCTGCATGTTTGTATGCATCCTGATTTGGCTTGGAGAGCTGTGGGTATTGGGGCAGGGAATTAGGAATGCTAGGCAGCAGCCAGCAACCCCAGAAGCTTCAGGGCCAGGGCAAGGTGTGGAAATATCATTGGGCTACATTCCAATGTCTCACAGTGCATCAACCAACACTCTAGAAACTCTATGGTGTTATCACAGAGTTTCTAGAAAGTTGGCTGTTATCATATCTGGGATTTTACCTGGGAATGATGTCAGCATGTAGCATAACATGACTTCTGCCCTCCCCCATTGTTTCTTATGCCATTGCAAGAGGCAAGGCCGAGTGGGGGAATCAGCAAGAGACTGCCAACCCCTAAGTAGGCACTTGGTATGCCTCCAGGGAAGGGGCAACCCTTTTCCCACTACACTATTTTCCTTATAGATACCTGTTATCAGTCTGAGGAGGGGAAAGACAGATAATGGCATGTATGCCTGTCCCCTCCCCCAGTGGGGCTACTACCAATTTAATGACAAATATTTATATAAAAAAATAGTTCAGGAGAAAGAATGACAACATCCCATAGCCCAAATCAAAACCAGGATACTTCTGCCCCTCACTAACTGATTTTTGACAGAGTACATATTAAGAGATCTGCTCATGGATTCCCAACATAACAAATAGTTTGGCCTTTAGCATTCAGTTAGCATAAATGGTATAGGCAATAGGACAAATTACAGATGCTGCTGTGAAGAAAACTGGGTAAATCAATAGCCAATTTCTTCTTGCACGTAGACTGGAGAACAGACTGCATCTTCAGATCACTTATAGCTCTGGTACCTATACAGGCCCACAGTACACCAGTGTATTTACGGCTGATTTAGAACACTGTTTCCTCAGCTCCTATTCCTCCAGTGTCTCTCTTCTACCTGAGATACACCATCCTTAGCTGGATTAATAGAAGGAAGCCACTTGAGAAATTGCATCAGGTCTTCAATGATTAACCTAATCCTAGAACAATCAATGCAGCAGGTCTACTTTCTTAGACTATACCACAGTGAGCAGTATATTTACACAGGAAACCAAGTGCTCATTAATATTTCCTAAAACTACGGTATCTAGTACTTAGTAGACTGACATTCATTCATTGGTAGGTTTTAATAAAAGGTATCAAATTGCATTTTTTTTAAAAAAAATAGCTATTTGGGAAAAATGAAAAAAAAAAAATAGACAAGGCCAGATATGACTATATTGACCAATGAGTCATGGGGCAGGTCTCACAGCAAAAGAAACCAAATGCTGCCAGCTAATGCTAACAGCTCTTCAGTGGTTCATTCATGATCTGTCAGCCAAACAGGTTGGTCTCTTAGCAAGAGAATACATCGACACATTGGATGTAAATATGGTAATACTAGCAAACTAGTGAGGAATGATTTTAGCTTTCTGGTACATTCTGTAACAGACATCGGCTTGGATCTATGGTACTGTTCCACTGGAGCAGCAGCCGTTTCTCTGATGGAATGGCTTTTCTATTCCATTCTTTTCTATTTCTGTCCTTCACTAAAGTCTGCAACTAAGCCATACTTTAAAAATAACACAATACATTAACACATGAGGCAAGATGATGCACTATATACGAACTGGGGACTAGCACCTAGAACGGGAGATACCAGGGTCAGGGAAGGCCATCTCTGATGCAGAGTCAGTTTCTATACCAATGTTATCGTATAGGAGCAATCTATACTGATTACTGAAAATTATTTGAGATCATTATTGCCACCATGAAACAGAACAATAAAACATATCAGAATGGTGTATAAGCATGTGTTATGTAACATGTCTTAGAAACCAGCTTAAACAATTTTGTACCAATGAATGTGAGCCACCCTGAGCCTGTCCGCGGGGAGGGCGGGATAAAAATGGAAATAAATAAATTGTACTTTATGTCTTCTTGTAAACATAGACTAATATGGCTTTCCCTTCTAGGGCAGATCAGTATACATCACACAAGAACTGGAAAAAAAAAATCCACACATCATGCTATGAGTAAACAGAGAGGGTAGAACCCTTTGGGGGGGGCAAAGGTAAGATATAAACAATTTTAGATAAATGAATGAATAAATAAAATAGAGACAGCAATGCGCATCTAAGTACTAAATCATGGGATTGCAAAAGGACAGGAATCAAACATTGAGTTAACGTCCTAAGGAGATGCAAGTGGAGCAAATTAAATGAGAAGATATTTGCTGCCGTCCACCACAGCCACCTGCCCTCAGACGAGTCCTTAGAGTCAGAGGACCCACGGGAATGGCAAGGGTTGCCAGCTCTGGCTTGGGAAATACCTGGAGATTGGGGGGGGGAGTGGAGCCTGAGGAGGGCGGGGTTTGAGGAGTGAAGAGACTTCAATGGGGTATAGTGCCATAGAGTCCAACATCCAATCCAATGTGGCCATTTTCTCCAGGTGACCTGACTTCTGTCACCTGGAGATCAACTGTAATATTGGGAGATCTCTGGCTACCACCTGGAGGCCGGAAATCTACCAATTGTGAACCTCCTGATACTCAGGAGTCACTTTGTAGTGAGGGTTGGGGACACAGAAAAATCCCTGCCATTATCTTGTTCTATTCAGTCTCTAGGCACAATGGCCTCCAGAGATGCAACAACTGTGGTTTGCCAATTCTAATAAACACAGTTACCACAAACCTGGCTTTGCAAAACTACTTCAAATCAGTTTTCATTGGCCACAGTCTGTCAATTAAGATATTTCCCGCCCACCCAGCGGATCGAAAGCCGTAACAACTAGCGAGTAGATGAATGGGTACCTGCCTTAGAAGGCAGGGAGCACCCCCCTCCATTGGGAGGTAAAGTGGGAACCCCAGCAGCAGCAATTTGGTGAGTGGCGGCAGCGGAGCGACATGAAATGGCGGCGGCAGTCGAGGTGGCGAGCAGAAATAAGGAGATGTAACATCGAGTGGTGGACCAGCGGTGGAGGCGGAGCCAGGAGGCGCGAGGACGCAGCGGCGCAGGCGGGGTGGAGCCTGAGGGACAGAGCCAGAGCCGCGCCAATGCGATCTACACGTTGGATGGGCCCTCCGACTCCAAAAGACCACCTGAGGAGCCTGAAGAAAGCGGATGGGAGAGGCCGAAGCCGAGACGAAACATCAAGCCGAATCCCACTGGGTGCTGGTAGGCAGTCCCGCCCCTAACAATATATGTGCCCATAGATAGGGATGATCTACTATGTAAGCCGCTTAGAGACCCCGTGAGAGGGGTTCAAGTGGGGTATAAGTCGAATGAAAATATCACATTTATGTCACAATAAAGGTTCCTTAACCATGGCTTGGTATGATGTCTGAACACAGCCCTTATCATAGCAAAATCCCAAGGACAATAAAGCAAAATTAAAAGGAATGGATGCCAACCAAGAGATTTCCTCACTCTGTATCCCAGCAGAAATGGAAGAGAGAAGGTATGTACATACACAGCACTTGCTTCTTCTTTTGAGGATGGTGTGCAAGTGCATGAGTGGGTGCTCACTCCCCTCTCCAAGCTTTTCCAAGTACAGGCTGCAGGCAAGAGCTCTATTGGCAGTCTGTGAGTAATGTACTGGGTTATTCCACTGGCAGCTTAATCAGAGAGAGGCCTCCTGCCTGGAAGGAACACGTCCTCTTTTGGAAAATCAACTTGCCGATCGACATTCTCCCCCTTGATTATTCTGAAACTTTCACAGAACACTTTTCCCTAGGAAGGGAGGGAGACTCAGGGCCAAGGTACACAAAGCACCGAATGTGCTGGGCTCATGGACAGTGTTCCCTCTAAGCTGAGATAGTGTGAGCTAGCTCTCAGTTTTTTAGCCTCTGGCTCACACTTTTTCGTCTTAGTACAGGAAGGATGGCTCCAGAGCAAACTAATTTATGCAGTAGCCAAATGGCTCGCTCACAACTTTAAAGCCCCTAGCTCACACGGTAGAATTTTTGCTCACAAGACTCCACAGCTTTGAGGGAGCATTGGTCATGGGTAAGTCTGGACTCACAGACTACATTGGGGGACCTCATTTTAAAAAATGCTCATTCACTCAGGGCATGAGGGAGAGCTGAGTGGGGGTGAAGGAGCACATTTCTCTGCCACCCTGCTTTTGCCAGTGGAAAGGGTGATGCCCCCTTTTGCCCCTTTTCTCTGGCTACACATGTTCTAGGAAGGGTACATGGGGCCAGAGAAAAGGGGTGAAAAGCTCAGCCGTATCCTTCCCACTGGGGAAAGAAGGGTGGGAGGGAAAGTGGAAGCTCCTTCTGGCCCCTTGCAGTGCCTCCTCATAGCTCTGAGCAAATGAGCACTTTTTAAGGTGAGTTCCCCTGATGTACGTCTGATCACAAGCCAGTCATGCACCTGAGACAGGCATGTGTTGGGCATATATTGTGTAGTTACACCCTCAGACTGTTGTAGAAACCACTGTCTCCATTTTGTAACATACAGTAACAGCACTCCCAAGTGACATGTTTTAGATTCAAATGGTGTATTTGTTTCCCATGTGAAAAAGTTCTAAGTATTATTCTAGGATTGATGCTGGCCATTCTATCTA